CTATTGAGAAAGAGAGAAAAGTGAGTTAAAAGTAAGATAAAACTCTTGTGCTCACCAGGGATCGAACCTGGGACCTTCTGTGTGTTAGACAGATGTGATAACCACTACCATGAGCATGGTGACACAGGTTCGTATCCCCTATTGAAGAAAGAGAGAGAGAAAGTGGGTTAAAGAAAGTGAGATAAAACTCTTGTGCCAGGGATCGAACCTGGGACCTTCTGTGTGTTAGACAGATGTGATAACCACTACACCATGAGCACTTGGTGACACAGGTTCGTATCTACAGAAGAAAAGAGAGAGAGTGGGTTAAAAGTGAGATAAAACTCTTGTGCTCACAGGGATCGAACCTGGGACCTTCTGTGTGTTAGACAGATGTGATAACCACTACACCATGAGCACTTGGTGACACAGGTTCATATCCCTATTGAAGAAATGAGTTAAAAAGTGAGATAAAACTCTTGTGCTCACCAGGGATCGAACCTGGGACCTTCTGTGTGTTAGACAGATGTGATAACCACTACACCATGAGCACTTGGTGACACAGGTTCGTATCCCCTATTGAGAGAAAGAGAGAGAGAAAGAGAGAGAGAGAAAGTGAGTTAAAGAAAGTGAGATAAAACTCTTGTGCTCACCAGGGATCGAACCTGGGACCTTCTGTGTGTTAGACAGATGTGATAACCACTACACCATGAGCACTTGGTGACACAGGTTCGTATCCCCTATTGAGAGAAAGAAAGAGAGAGAGAGAAAGTGAGTTAGAGAAAGTGAGATAAAACTCTTGTGCTCACCAGGGATCGAACCTGGGACCTTCTGTGTGTTAGACAGATGTGATAACCACTACACCATGAGCACTTGGTGACACAGGTTCGTATCCTCTATTGAGAGAAAGAGAGAGAGAGAGGGGAGAGAAAGTGAGTTAAAGAAAGTAAGATAAAACTCTTGTGCTCACCAGGGATCGAACCTGGGACCTTCTGTGTGTTAGACAGATGTGATAACCACTACACCATGAGCACTTGGTGACACAGGTTCGTATCCCCTATTGAGAGAAAGAGAGAGAGAGAGAGAGAGAAAGTGAGTTAAAGAAAGTGAGATAAAACTCTTGTGCTCACCAGGGATCGAACCTGGGACCTTCTGTGTGTTAGACAGATGTGATAACCACTACACCATGAGCACTTGGTGACACAGGTTCGTATCCCCGATTGAGAGAAAGAGAGAGAGAGAGAGAGAGAAAGTGAGTTAAAGAAAGTGAGATAAAACTCTTGTGCTCACCAGGGATCGAACCTGGGACCTTCTGTGTGTTAGACAGATGTGATAACCACTACACCATGAGCACTTGGTGGTTTAGGCTCGTATCCCCTATTGAGAGATCCCATAGACAGAGACCAAGTGATAACAGTAATTTGCTCTATATATGAAGGTCAGAATAACCTAACTTAACCATAAACTTGACCTTAATTAGACTAAATTATTTCCCAATTGACGTAAATAACTCACTATTTTCTTGTAAAAGTCGTAAGTACATTATTATTATTATTAACAAATTCGTATTCATTATCAATATACATATAAATTACAAACATGAATTATTATTGTCATTATATTCGTAAAAAATATGTATCTGACGGAAAGAAAACTGTAGTGTTGTCATATAAAACACGAAACATTAATATTTTTCAGATTCCATTAGCTTACATATGTTATTAACCAAACCTCCTCTTGGGAGAAACTGGCGCGGCAAATGCTTCTACAACTACTTATAAGGGGTTCCGCCATTTTGAATGACGTCACTGCAACACAACAACCAATCACAGTTACTTTTAAAGTGTGACGTTACATAAAATGAAAACCAATCAAATAATCTCAAACCTGTGACGTCATTGAGCTGCAGGAGCGACAACCAATCACAGTTAATCTATAACCTGTGACGTCAAATATACGTCATTTTGTTAGAGATCCTTAACCAATCATCTCAAGACATTTTCTATCTTGTGACGTCATTTAATTGGAGATTAGAGCAACAACCAATCACATTTAGTCTCCAGCCTGTGACGTCATCTAGCTGGCGGTACTCAATAACCAATCACAAAACATATAAGCACTGTCCCACTTATGACGTCATATAGCTAGTGTTCAGCACAACAACCTGTATTATGAGTTGCTGTTGACGACTTGGTTCAGGAGACGCGGCGCGGGACTGGGCCGGGCTCGCTCTCTCTTTCCTCCCTCTACCCCCTCCTCCATCTTCTCTCTCTCTTTTGACGTTTTTAATATGAATACAAACAAGTGAGAGAGAGAGAGAGGCTATAACGTATACGGCTTATAGACGACTCCACCATTGGGATCAGCGTCAACAATTCTGCTCCCAACTATACCGCCCTTCAGGATTTATTGACCAGTCTCCAAAACTGGGCCACCAACAACCATGTCACCATCAACCATACCAAGACCATGGTTATGCACATCAACCTCTCCTCCGACATTGTCCCACCTCCTTCCATTACTCTAGGTCCGAACACACTCCAGGCTGTAGATTCCACGAAGCTCCTCGGCGTCACCATAGACAATAAACTAAATTGGAAACCACACGTCAGTGAAGTTGTCAAATCCTCCAGTTTCCGTCTCCACCTCCTCCGCCGACTCAAGTCCCTTGGAGTTCCTGCCCCCGAGCTCCTCAGTGTTTACACAACATTCATACTTCCCAAGCTCACCTATGCCTCCCCCACCTGGTCTTCCTCCCTAAATGCCACACAACGTAAACACCTAGAAAAAGTGCAAAAGAGGCATGCAAGATTATTCTCCCTTCCTACTCCACACATATCAAGAAGCGCTTCAACACACTGACCCTTTCGACTCTCACTGACCATCACCACGACCTCATCTGCAAATTTGGTAAGAAGCTTCTACACCATCCAAGCACACCGGCCCTTACTACCACCTGAGATCCCTTGGTCCGAGAATTGCTGTTCGACACCACAACCGCATCCAGGCCATACGTGCACGAACTGATCGCTATAAGAACAGCCCAGTCCCAAATCCATTGTCAAAATTATCAATAACTTGTAATAAACCAGCAGTATTCACTCCCAGTAAACACTGCTCCTTACACTGTCACTATGTTGAAATGAACTGTAGTTTGAGCTTTTCCCCATCTAGTTATTATATGTCTTATTTGTGTCACTTATGTTACTTGTATATTATTTGTAATTCATAACCCATTCCCCAAATATGTAACTGTATATTTTCAGCCTTCTGGCTGCCAAGCTCTTTCAATAAACCGTTAATAATTATTATTATTTATTATTTAGATGCCCCTATAGTTTGCCACAAGTCAGGGAGCTCGAGGACGTAAATTTATAAGAGTTACCGTTAAAATAAACCCGTTTTGTATGGTGACGCGGCAGTCGGGAACAGGTTAAACAAACACTAACTAATGTCTTTAGTTCTGTAGCGAAATTAGTTTAGTTTTGGCTGTGTTTGGAGATAAATAACATATTAAATATCATCTTTAAAGACGCGACTTAGCCTAATAAGGATGTAACACTGATATTAACGCCGTGTAAAGATGGTAATATTTATAAACTGGGTGGCACTTTACCTGTCAGTGTAGAGTATAATGTCAGCAGGGAGTATCTTTTAGTGTCAGCAGCCGTCAGTACATATCAGTCGTCAGCCAATAGGCTCCAGTAGTGTTAGCAGCCATCAGTCAGCAGTACACATTAGACGTCAGCTAGCAGTAACCATTAGCAGCCATCAGTCAGCAGTACACATTAGACGTCAGCTAGCAGTAACCAGCATCAGAGATAACACGACACACTTTTTACACTCTTATCCTCTTCGCCACTGATGGGCTCGCTATCCGCCCGGGCGATCGGTCACGTCTCTGTCACACACAGTTGGCAAATACCGTCTTGTCTCACTCGCCATGTATCGCCTCTATCCCTAGTTCATAACGAACCCTCGAGACCTCTCAACGAACCCTCGACTCCACCATACCGAACCACCACTTTCCCAGCTTCCTAACTAACATACACTATTACTTAACAACAAAAGTGTAAAATAACATTAAATAATAATAACTTACTACTTAATAAAACTTAATTACTTACAAATTTACTTAAAAATAATTAAAGAAATGGATCTGGGGTTCGGTTCATATGTTTCAAATCCCGAGGGGGTTTGTTGTTCTATGACGTCGTCAGTGGGCGGGGCTTATGAACGAGGTGTTTAGTAATTGGTTGTTGTGTTGTTGTTTATATAGAGAAAGACACAAGAGTGAGTGAGAGAGAGAGAGAGAGAGAAAGTGAGTTAAAGAAAGTGAGTGAGATAAAACTCTTGTGCTCACCAGGGATCGAACCTGGGACCTTCTGTGTGTTAGACAGATGTGATAACCACTACACCATGAGCACTTGGTGACACAGGTTCGTATCCCCTATTGAGAGAAAGAGAGAGAGAGAGGGAGAGAAAGTGAGTTAAAGAAAGTGAGATAAAACTCTTGTGCTCACCAGGGATCGAACCTGGGACCTTCTGTGTGTTAGACAGATGTGATAACCACTACACCATGAGCACTTGGTGACACAGGTTCGTATCCCCTATTGAGAGAAAGAGAGAGAGAGGGAGAGAAAGTGAGTTAAAGAAAGTGAGATAAAACTCTTGTGCTCACCAGGGATCGAACCTGGGACCTTCTGTGTGTTAGACAGATGTGATAACCACTACACCATGAGCACTTGGTGACACAGGTTCGTATCCCCTATTGAGAGAAAGAGAGAGAGAGAGAGAAAGTGAGTTAAAGAAAGTGAGATAAAACTCTTGTGCTCACCAGGGATCGAACCTGGGACCTTCTGTGTGTTAGACAGATGTGATAACCACTACACCATGAGCACTTGGTGACACAGGCTCGTATCCCCTATTGAGAGAAAGAGAGAGAGAGAGAGAGAGAGAGAGAGAGAGAGAGAGACGACACAGGTTAGTTTAATAATCAAGAAAATGAATAAAACTCAAGACACATTTTATACATTGTTATTCATCACAAGTAAAGCCTTTTTGGTATACATAGATATACACACACACATACACGTTCCTATATGTATACATGTACACATATACACAAAAAAATACATTAATATACATATAATTCTCGTTACCTTATTTAGTAAAGTTCCCCCTAACTTTACTTAACATGATAACAATATAACATGATAACAAGATTGAGTCAACATGATATAATTTAGCAGATAACATGATCATCAATGCTGTTCAGTATATCATGTCTAATATATCACACCGAGAAGGTAGATATCATGTCTTATCAGTCTACATGATAGGATTAAGTTGATATCATGTTTCTCATATCAATTTTTTTTATTATTTACCTATAAACATAGTCATATATATATACGGGTTATATAAGCTAGAATTAAAGGTTTAAGATTATATCATGGTTATGTTATGTGTGTGTGATGGTATAATATATTTTTAAGTATACATATATAAGATACATTGATTTATTACATATATTTTGGTGTTATACATAGATCAAAGTCTCTCTCTACCAAGGCTACACAATCTTATTTCACCTGAAAATTAGACACCCTGATGCTATTTGGGGTGGGGTGGGGTGGGGTGGGGTGGGGTGGGGTAGGGTTCGGTTATTCTTTAGGTGAAAAAACTGTGGGCTCCACTGTACCAGCCTCCACTCTTCCCCGACCATTAATTCTCTTCCCCAGTCATTAAATGTCCTCCCCAACTAGTAATTATCCTCTCCAAGCATTAAATATCCTCCTCAAACATTAAATAACCTCCCCAACAGGTAATTAGTCTCCCCAACCACCTCTAGTCTTCCTTAACAAATACCAAAACATTTAGTATAGTTTGTGCGACAATTTGCTCCGTTTTCTTCTAATTTCAAGGGCTAACTATGCTAAATGTCAGTGTTTTCATGTATGGGGCTAATACCTTGACAATTGTGTGTTTAACTGGTGAAATTAGCCCCAGGCATCAATATATTGGGGTCTATTAGAACTGTGGTCTATTATGTATAGGATCTTTAAGGGCTGGGGTCTATTAGGACTGGGGTCTATTAGGACTGGGGTCTGTTGGTGCTTAGATATATATTTGGTGATATTGGTGGTAATTGTGGTTATGGTGGTGGTGGAGAAGGACGAAAGAGGCGATAATGGTAGTGTTGGAGATAATGTTGAAGATAATGTTGGAGATTGAACACTTCTTAAACAAGAGTGGTGGAGCCGTTAACTTGCGTCGTGGTTGAGAAGGAGCTAGTTGATGATGACGAAGGAGTGGAAGTAGACGTAGCAGCAGCAGTAGTAGTAGTAGTAGTAGTAGCAGTAGTAGTAGTAGTAGCAGTAGTAGAAGCAGCGCCGTTAGTAAAATTATTAATGATACACTGTCGGTAGAGCACCATTGAGCGCCTTGTTCGCTGTGATACAACTGATCGCTTCTTCTCCGAGGCTGATGTTGTTGTGGTGACGGTGGTGCGCGGAGAGTGGCTGTCTAGTGGGATCTGTAGAGAGAGAGAGAGAGTGAGAGTGAGAGTGAGAGAGAGAGAGGGGGGGTAGGTAGTAAACAGGTGAATAAATACCACAATACATTCATTATAAAGCACACACACCCACCTCACACACCCACCACACACACACCCACCACACGCCCACGCACCCACACACCCCACACACCCACCACACACCCACCACACGCCCACACACCCACCACACTCCACCCGCACCACACGCCCACACCACCCCACACACACGCCCACACACACCCACCACACGCCTACCACACGCCCACACACACCCACCACACGCACCCACCACACACACCCACCACACGCCCACACACCCCACACACTCACCTGCACCAACACACTCTTCCTCCTCGTCTCAGCTGATCCAGAACTGCTTGAATAGATTGAGAACTCAGACGATGCTTTAGACTCAAGAGAACACAGGTTATGAGCCCTGACAGATGAGTGATAGTTCTTGCAGTTAGAGTCAAGGCGGAGAGGCGAACAGCACGACCTTGACACGAGGATGGCCTGTTGGAGGTCAAACTTGAGGTTAAAGTTGTGGTCATACTTGGGGTAAAAATTGTGGTTAGACTTGAGTATATGAGGTCAAACTTGGGGTCAAACTTGTGGTTAGATTTGAGTATATGAGGTCAAACTTGGGGTCATGTTTAATTAATCTTGAAATAATTTGGGGTTAAACACTCACTCACTCACTGACCTTAAAACCAGAACGGAACTTGTCATTAAAGAAGGCGTACAGCACAGGGTTGATACAGGAGTTAGAGGCGCCAAGCCACTGGGCAATAGGCGCCAATATGTGAATGATGTGGTTTTCCATTTCTGTTGGCGCTACACCCAGCTGAGGAGAGGGAGTATATGTGAGTGGGGGGAGGTGAGAGGGAGTGAGAAAGAGGGAGAGAGAGAGGGATTAAATGAAGAGAGAGAGAGAAAGAGGCTAGATAGACAGAAAGAGCGACACCAAGACAGGAAGAAAGACAGACAGACAGACAGACACACACCTTAAGCCTGGCAAAGATGGCGTACAGAGGCAACCAGGATAAAGCGAACAAGATGACCACAACCAACAGCATCTTGATGACCTTTATCTTAGACCGCTGCATCATCATAGCCACACCTACGTCCTGTTGCTCTCCTGGAAGCTTGCGACGCCACACCTGTAAGAAGCCACACCCTGTTAGTGCTTAGAATATACCACACAATCCTGTTAGAAGCCTCCCACACACCTGTTAGAAGCCTCCCACACCTGTTAGAAGCCTCCCACACCTGTTAGAAGCCTCCCACGCCTGTTAGAAGCCTCCCACGCCTGTTAGAAGCCTCCCACACCTGTTAGAAGCCTCCCCACACCTGTTAGAGCCTCCCACACCTGTTAGGAGCCTCCCACACCTATTAGGAGCCTCCCACACCTGTCAATAAGTCCAACACCTGTAATTAGCTATACATTTCCCCACCTAAAATTAGAGAAAGTACCATTAACTTTCCCCACCTAACAAGAGAGACATTACCCCAACTTTCCCCACCTAACAAGTGAGAAAGTACCCTTAACTTTCTTCAGGTAACAAGAGAAAGTACTTACCTTTCGCCAGATGAGAATGTAGCAGACAGAGATGGCAGTGAGAGGCAAGAGGTAACACATAATAAGATTAGCCAACACGAAGTACAGGTTACCACTCTGTTCATCTGGCCACCTGTCTGTACACACCTGTAAATACACGTACACACACCTGTTAGTTATGTACACATCTGTAAATACACGTACATACACCTGTTAGTTATGTACACATCTGTAAATACACGTACACACACCTGTTAGTTATGTACACATTTGTAAATACACGTACATACACCTGTTAGTTACGTACACACACCTGTTAGTTATGTACACACACCTGGGAATGTTTACACTTACATCTCTTAGTTAAGTACACACACCTGCAGACGTACACACCTGTTAAGCACTACACACCTGTAAGATGAATTAAAGGAAAGGTGGAAATTTTCTTACTCTCTCTCTCTCTCTCTCTCTCACCTCAGCTGTTTCTCGTTAAGCAAAAAAAAAAAAATATTGGCAGAAATTATTTGCTCCATAACACTACACCGTAACACTACACCGTAACACTACACCATAACACTACACCGTAACACTACACCATAACACTACATCACTATAGCCACAAGTATATAAACACTTTGATGGCGCAGTAAAATTAAGGAACTCTTAAGGATATTATTGGAACCCGATATATGTTTTGTGTGTAGGTGGGAATGGTGTGGCTGGGGAGGGTGTGGCTGGGGATGGTGTGGCTGGAGGGGGGGTGGTTGTCTTGATTTGTTGTTGTTTTTTGTGTTTCTCTGTTTTGTTTTTCTTTGATTGATTTTTTTTATTCGTATTTTTTCCGATGATCTTTGCAAAATGCCTCGTCATCATGAGTCAGCATATTCTTTGACAGGTGAGTAACTGAGTATACATTGAATTATTATGTATTTTTAGTGATGTTATGGGTATACATATACATACATACATACATACATATATACATACATAGATACATACATACATCCTTCACCCCCCTTCCTCCCTCGGCTCTAGAACGTGGCAGACCAATCTTGTGTGATATAAGGATAACTAACTATCTAATGACCTTGTTAACGAGTTTACGAGCCGTGAAGTTGTTTGTGTAGAGGGACTATCTAATGACCTTGTTAACGAGTTTACGAGCCGTGAAGTTGTTTGTGCATAGAGGGAGGTGAGGGAGGGGTGGGTGGGGGAGGGGAGGAGGGGAGATAAGACCTTGAAGAGATTATAGATTTTCTTCTTTCAGCCTTCTCTCTCTCTCTCTGTCTCTCTCTCTCTCTCTCTCTCTCATTTCCCTTTGAAGGTTGAAGAGTGAAAGTGAGCAGAAAGCCAGGTAAAGAAAGGTCGATAGAAAGGCCTGTGAGAGGAAGAGGGGGAGAGGGAGGGAGGGGGGGGGGAGAGAGAGAGAGAGAGAGAGAGAGAGAGAGGGAGAGAGAGAGAGAGAGAGACTCTGCAACTGAAATTTATACCAATTTCATGCTAATTTTGGGAAGACACCTGCTGATTTAACCCCTATGGTGGTGGTGGTGGCGGTAGTGGTGGGTGGTGGGTGGCGGTGGTGGTGGTGGTGGTGGTGGTGGTGGTGGTGTGTGGTGGTGGTAGTAGCGCCACCACCACACTTCATTTCACCTTTACACAACAAACATGGTCCAGGGATATGTGTGTGTGTGTGTGTGTGTGTGTGTAGTCACCTGTCACACACACACACACCCACACCCACACAATACTCACATGAAGATCGGTCTCCGGTATGGGCTCCAAATTGAAGAATATAGCCCATGGGAGAGTAATGGTGAGAGAGAATACCCAAATAACCACAATAATACTCCTACAGGTGCGGGAAGTAATCTGGCATTTCATTGGGTAACAGATGGCCATGGCCCTATCCACAGATATGGCCACCAGAGTGTTGATACTTGCTGATACACTCACTCCTTGAAGGTATGACATGGCCTTGCAGACGAACAGGCCAAGAACCCAAGCTGTGAGAAAGTGAGATAGATTTAATTTATGGTAGGTTTATTATCATTACATGGCCATTGTTGTATAATGGCCAGTTGGGTGTTGATACTGGCCATTATTTTAGGTACAATATGGCCTTACAGAGAGAGAGAGAGAGAGAGAGAGAGAGAGAGAGAGAGAGAGAGAGAGAGAACACTAATTAGCTGAGGAGTACACGATAGCTTAACACACGTACAGGTATTTCTAGTATCTGATACCTACCTGGGTTATGGTCCTTACAGGTACATCACATTCCCTAATTATAGCGTATTACCTGTGCTATTTATCTATCTATCTATCTATCTATCACAGCCAGTAGATCAAAACATTTCACTATTATCTAAAAAAATAATTCATATGATTTTAAAGCATTAAGCCACAATTTCCTTCACAAAACTTCGTAAAAGTATAAATATTTTCGTATTTTTCAATGAGTTTATGGTGGGAAATCCGGATTGATTTACCAGAACGAGTGTTAGCAATCCGGATTCAACTCTGACGAACGCGAAATGTAAACACAGGGATGAGAACTTACCTTACTAACTCACTTGAAGTTACCACACAAAGATGACTTATTATAATAACAAATAAAACAAAATGGCATCAATACAGCCAAAGACTCTACTACTATTAGGTAGAAATGTCTCCTATTACACGAGAAATAACACAAAATGGCGTCAAATTCACGTAAAGACTGTAATAGTGTAAGGGAGTGTTAGGAGTTATGGAAGGGGTGTGTGTCGTGACCCGGGAGTGCTGAAGTGGATTAGCTCTCTCCCTCTTTCTCTCCCTCTCCCCTTCTCTCCCTCTCTCCAACAAATTCTTTGATGTACATTCAGTGATAAATGAAGGAAAATTGAAAGAATTAAGATAATGTCGTTACGTAGAAGGGAATAACAAGCACTCCTGGATAATGAAGGAGAGAGAGAGAGAGAGAGAAGGGGGTAACATTTTGACTACCACACCACACCACATCCCATCCTACCACACCACACCACACCACCACACCACCACACCACACCACACCACCCAATACTTGGCGTGGGAAGAAACCAACTGTTGCAAAATCGAACTTTATTGAGAATCTATTGTGAACCAGACCTATTGCACCTGTCTGTCTATCTGTCTGTCTCTCTGTCTGTGTCTGTCTGTCTGTCTGTCTGTCTGTAATGCTTAACTGGGCACGTGGGATTTTACACCTCCCATTCAGAGAGAGAGAGAGAGAGACAGAGAGACAGAGAGAGAGAGAGAGACAGAGAGAGATAATTTTATAAGAAATATATAAGTCAGGTCTCAACGATACACTGTCACATACATATTGACCCAAGGAAAATGAAATTGACACAATGGACGTGTGGGCCAAGGGGGGGGAGGGGGAAGAAGGGGGAAGGGGGGGGAGGGGAAGAAGGGGGGAGGGGAGTTATCCACAATAACAATAACACAAAAACAGTTTCAGTTAATTGAAATAAATATATTGTTTCTAATTTGCTTTACGTGTGTGTGTGTGTGTGTGTGTAGCAACAGACAGACAGACAGAGAGATTTGGTTACAGTCTCCAGGCAAACAGGATTAAACCCTTGTTATGGCAATTACGTTGATTATTACCAGAGACCTTGTTGTGGTGGTGGTGGTGTGTGTGTGTCTGTGTGTGGGGGTGTGTGTGTGTGTGTGTGTGTGACATTATGCCCAAGGACTTCAAAACAAACAGACTAACTAATGAAGCATTAGAGAGAGAGGGGGGAGTAAATGAGGAGAGGGAAGGAGAGAGGGGAGAGGGAAGGAGAGAAGGGAGAGGGAAGAGAGAGGGGAGAGGGAAGTGAGTAACTTGTTTGCCTCACTAACTTGTCAACACACAGACCTTGTTCATCCTATCACCTTCCTTAAAGACATCGATTTATCAATACATCTTTACCATCCTGGGGAAAAAAATAATCTTAGAGGGGATATAGAAAACGGGAATTTTTTTTTTATTTATGTAATACTATGATAATAAATTACGCTTTTTATGTGGATTATAACACAAAAAATACGTTTACTTATGGAAAAACACCACAGGATTTATTATAAACATTGAATTATTTATTTTAAAGCTCTGAAATTTGGTATAGAAACATAACTAACGCTAAATAAACACTGGTATGTCCTATTAGGCTATTTGAAGTCACATACGATAGCCCTACCGCCTGTCTCTCTGAACTACGAACCCTAGAGATTCAGATTCGTGAACCCGAAGCAATCTACGGTTCCGGGTTCACGAATCTGAGTCCCTGGGTTCGTGGTTCAGAAGGAGAGATGGCCATTGTAATTAAGTGAGACAATTAGACATTAGACGATGGATTTTGACAACCATACCGAGGCAATACGTGACGTAGTGTTCATTGTGAAGTTTATCGATCACTTCCGTAGATAATAATTAGTAGAAGGTAAATAAATAAATGATATCTCAATGACAACAAAGGTTTGGTACCTAAATAACACGATAAAGTGACGCTAGAACGCATCAAGAAACAGTCATAATTGAAGTAAAACCTCAGCTTTGAGATGATGACTGGCAGCATACAGTCCAGACAGTCGTATATACAGTCTAGAGTCGTATATACAGTCCAGACAGTCGTATATACAGTCTAGAGTCGTATATACAGTCCAGACAGTCGTATATACAGTCTAGAGTCGTATATACAGTCCAGACAGTCGTATATACAGTCCAGACAGTCGTATATACAGTCCAGACAGTCGTATATACAGTCTAGAGTCGTATATACAGTCCAGACAGTCGTATATACAGTCTAGAGTCGTATATACAGTCTAGAGTCGTATATACAGTCTAGAGTCGTATATACAGTCCAGACAGTCGTATATACAGTCTAGAGTCGTATATACAGTCTAGAGTCGTATATACAGTCCAGACAGTCGTATATACAGTCCAGACAGTCGTATATACAGTCTAGAGTCGTATATACAGTCTAGAGTCGTATATACAGTCCAGACAGTCGTATATACAGTCCAGATAGTCGTATATACAGTCCAGACAGTCGTATATACAGTCTAGAGTCGTATATACAGTCCAGACAGTCGTGTTGACAGATACATGCTATATACCAACCCCTAACCACACACACACACACACACGTCTCATTAACTACGGCACAGGTGTTTGATGAGAGTTATACACCTGTCTGACACACATCTGTTCACCACATGTATGTAATTTTCACTTCATATTAACATCAGCTGGTTCATGATGTCACAGGTAGGTGATTGGCTATAGAGCGAATCATGACGTCAGAAGTCCTCGGTGATTGGCTATAGAACGAATCATGACGTCAGAAATCCTCGGTGATTGGCTATAGAACGAATCATGACGTCAGAAATCCTCGGTGATTGGCTATAGAACGAATCATGACGTCAGAGATCCTCGTTGATTGGCTACCAGAGAGAATCATGACGTCATAAATCCTCGGTGATTGGCTATAGAACGAATCATGACGTCAGAAATCCTCGGTGATTGGCTATAGAACGAATCATGACGTCAGAAATCCTCGGTGATTGGCTATAGAACGAATCATGACGTCAGAAATCCTCGGTGATTGGCTATAGACCGAATCATGACGTCAGAGATCCTCGTTGATTGGCCACCAGAGCGAATTATGACATCAGAGATCCTCGTTGATTGGCCACCAGAGTGAATCATGACGTCACATACATCAACAAACCCACCCTCCTCCCCCCGATTATACGAGTTACCTGATAATTACCGCTATAATCACTGCTCTAATTACTACCTGGTTCTTTGTAACGTATAATATGATAGGTAATTATATTCTCAAATGATTTTAGGTCAATATTCTCCAGTAAATAACCCCGAAAGATCTCAAAACTCACCCGGAAAAAGAGATTCTTAAAATGGATACTATCTTTTCAGGTCGCAGGTCGTCTTCCCTTTGAGAACTTGAGAAGAAAATTTTGGTGGGTGGGAACAAACTCTCTATCTCTTCAGTCTTGTGGAGAGGACGGATGGGGGAGGGTAGGGTTAGGTTAGGGTTAGGTTAGGGTTAGGTTAGGTTCTGGTTAGGGGTAGGTTAGGGTTAGGTTAGGGTTAGGTTAGGGTTACGTTAGGGTTAGGTTAGGTTTGGTTAGGGTTAGGTTAGGTTTGGTTTTGTGGTGGGAGGATGTCTGTCTGTCTGCCTGTCTCACACACACACACCATCTATGGTTGAGATAACTTTAACCAAAAAGTTTCCTCAACTTTATATGACAACAATTTATGGATGAGAGAGAGAGAGAGAGAGAGAGAGAGAGAGAGCAGCTTCCGGGACTCATTACAACCCATTAAGTGAAGAGGAAGGAGGAAGAAGGAGGAGGAGGAGGAAGAAGAAGGAGGGGAGGAGGAGGAAGAAGAAGGAGGGAGGAGGAGAAGAAGGAGGAGGGGAGGAAGAAGGAGGAGGAGGAGAAGGAAGAGGAGGGGAGGAGGAGAAGGAAGAAGGAGGGAGGAGGAGGAGAGGGAAGAAGGAGGGGAGGAGGGAGGAAGAAGAAGGAGGAGGGAGGGAGAGGAAGAAGGGGAGGGAGGAGGAGGGAGGAGGAGAAGGAAGGAGGAGGGAGGAGAGGAGGAAGAAGGAGGGAGGAGGAGTGGTGGGAAGAAGAAGGAGGGAGGAAGAAGGAGGGGAGGAGGAGGAAGAAGGAGGAAGCTAGAGGAGGAGGAGGAGAGGAAGAAGGAGAAGAGGGATGAAGAGAAATATATATGTATGTATGTATGTATGTATGTATGTATGTACTTAAAGACTGATGACTTACGAGTATAAACATTACCAATCAGAGTGGCTGGGATGCAGAAAATCAGAACGAGCAGATCAGCTAAAGCTAAATTATAAAGAAAACAGAAAACAGGCGTGTTAAGGCTCCTCTTCTGCGTCTTCGTCATAACTATTATCACCAAGACGTTCCCGACGGTGCCCACGACGAAGACCAGGCAGTAGGCGACGCAGTAGACGCAGGTTATGGCCAGAGAGTGACGCAGTAAATCGATATCGTCGTGGTTGGTTAAGTTATTATTTTCAATGTTTACTTCTGTGACTGGAGTATCGTTGTGGGCGGGGTTTAGGAGGTTAAGTACGCCCATATCTTGGTTGTGGGTGGGGTTTAGGAGGTTAAGTACGCCCATTTCTTGGTTGTGGGTGGGGTTTAGGAGGTTAGGAACGCCCATTTCTTGGTTGTGGGTGGAGTTTAGGAGGTTAGGAACGCCCATTTCTTGGTTGTGGGTGGAGTTTAGGAGGTTAGGAACGCCCATTTCTTGGTTGTGGGTGGGGTTTAGAAGGTCAAACACGCCTATTCCTTCATTGTGGGCGTGTTTTAGATCAGAAACGCACCATATCTTCGTTATGGGCGTGGTTTAAGAGGTCGAGTACGCCCATACCTTCCTTAGGGGCGTGGCTTAGGCGGTTAAGATATCCAACACTACAATTTTGGGCGTGGCTTAAGTTAGGTTAAGTTATCTTGGATTACTCAACGAAAGTAGGCAAAATATTAATAGTTTTCTCTTTATTACAAACTTTCAATATTTTTCTTGATGACTGATGTAAAAATTTCACCGTAAAAGTATAAAATTACAACTTCTTTATAGACTTTTCTTATATTATTTCACACACACTTGGCGCTCACTCAGACACAACGCAAAGTCTATGTAATATCGGCGTTGGAAACTAAGCCTAGGAGTTGAGTGTGTGTTTGAGTGTGTGTTTGAGTGTGTGTGTGGGTGTTTGTGATGGCGTGGGAGGGCGTGAGAGGGCGTGGGAGGGCGTGGGAGGGTGAGTGAGGGCGTGTGAGGGCGTGAGAGGGCGTGGTGACAGAGGTGTTCCTCCTTACAGCTTCACGCCACGAATGAGCGACTGAAAGCAATGTGACCCAGGAAGTTGACTCTCTCTCTCTCTCTCTCACTCTCTCTCACTCTCTCCCTCACTCACTCTCTCTCTCCCTCCCTCACTCTCTCCCTCCCTCACACCACCACCATTGTTTATTTACAAATGAACAGCTGATTAACCAAACCAACCAATCAACGCTACGTATAAATCAACCAATCAGTGCCTCGTATTAACCAACCAATAAGAACTCTATTTACACGTCCCCAATAGCCAATGATAATCCTCCTGTGGCCAATGGTAATGTATCATCGAGGTTAAGTGACCTTGTTGACTCACCTGTACCTGCCATTGCATATTCAACTCGTTAACAAGGTGCAATTATGTAGTTACAGGTGATTAATGCAGGAATACAGTGTGGTGGTGGTGGTTGTTGTTGATATTATTATTATTAACATCATTAAGCTGAAAGTCGACATAATTAAGCTTAGGTCAGCATAATTAAGTCTTTATTAGAGGAGTGGTTAAGCTTGTAAACCGTATGACACGTTAATAGCCTTGTGTGATGGTCGTAACTATGAGAGAGAGAGAGAGAGAGAGAGAGAGAGAGAGAGAGAGAGAGAGAGAGAGAGAGAGACCCACAAACACTTTAATGAGTCATAAAAGCTGAAACATGATGAAGTAATGAGACGAATTTTAGCCTTTATGGGGTTTTGTTGTCTTTAAGGGGGGGTGAGGGGGGAGGGGAGGGGTGAGGGGGGAGGGTGAGGTAAGGTAGGGAGACTTACTGACAGGTGTGACAGGTGTGATAGGTGTGGACAGGTGTGACAGGTGTCGATACAGGTGTGACAGGTGTGACAGGTGTGATAGATAGGATAACACCAACACTCAAACAAGGGCAATACAGTAGTTAACACCAAACAAGGCAACACAGTAGTTAACACCCAAACAAGGCATTACAGTAGTTAACACCCAAACAAGGCAATACAGTAGTTAACACCCAAACAAGGCAATACAGTAGTTAACACCCAAACAAGGCAATACAGTAGTTAACACCCAAACAAGGCAATACAGTAGTTAACACCCAAACAAGGCAATACAGTAGTTAACACCCAAACAAGGCAATACAGTAGTTAACACCCAAACAAGGCAATACAGTAGTTACTCACCATTCAAGAGATGACCAATCAGAGTCGTAGGCATAACAATAATATTCACCAATAAATCGGCTACGGCGAGATTGGCGATAAACACATTGGTTACCGTCCGCATTCTCGCTGCTCTAACAACCACAGCTACCACGAAACTATTGCCAATTACCCCCATAACTGACACAAGTACATACGCCACACAGTACAAGATAGTAACTGGTAACGCATGACGGAACATTGGTACTTCGTAATTGCTGCAGAGTTCGTTATAAGAGGTGTCGTTATGGGAGGTATCGTAGTAACAAGCTGTTGTGTTGTAAGGGTAGTTATCGTAGCTTGGGAAGTAGTTATTGGTCGTTAGTGTGTTGTTGTCCGTGTACATGGTGATTGGTTGGTTGGTTGGTTGATGGTTGGTTCTCGGTAGATTGTGGTTGGTTGCTGGTAGATTGTGGTTGGTTGCTGGTAGATTGTGGTTAGTAGACTGGTAGATGCTGGTTGGCTGGTTAGTGGTATGCTCCAGGTGATTTAGAATAGCTTGATAGGGTTCCAATGCTCCAGATACCCAAGACTTATGCTCCAGTGTCCGAAGACTTATTAAGTCTGATATGCTCCAAGATATAAGATAGTGTGGTGATGTTTATGCTCCAGGAGCCTAATATTTATAGTTGGATTCTTATCTCCTTATAACTGGAGCATATGTGAGTTTTTCATGATTTAATTATTGGTGATATGCTCCACGAATATGCTCGTCAATCACCATGTTCCGAGGATTTGTTGGTTGGCCTTAATACTCCAGTTTTGAATTTATGCTCCAGGGATATATTCCATATATCCCTCACGCTCCAGCTCTCACTGTTGGATTATCTGGTATGCTCCACGCTATAGTCCTCACTTATAATGCTCCATGACTTACTGCTGGAACATCTATTATGCTCCACGTTCAAGGATTCGCTCGAATATCAGCTGTTATGCTCCATGAATCGCTGTTCGGTCATCTGGTATGCTCCACGCTCTAATCCTCACTGATGGATCACCAACTATGCTCCAAATCTCACTGTTGGATCACCTAAAATGCTCCAGGTTTCACTGCTGGTTTACATGCCAAGCCCCACACTCCAGATGGTCACTGCTGGGTTACCTGTTATGCTCCACGCTCCAGGGCTCACTACTGGGGTCACTTACAATGCTCCAGTAGCGTTGGTAAGGCTCTAATCTTTTACCATAGGGAGACTCCTTGACAACCCAACGAACTGTGAAGGAAAAATGATACTGGTTAGATACGTACATACATACATACATACATACATACATACATACATACATACATACATAGATACATAGATACATACATACATAGATACATACATAGGCAGAGAGAGAGAGAGAGAGAGAGAGAGAGAGAGAGACAATGTTTACAGAAATCAAACGTGTACATAGACAAGGCAGGTGTGTGTACTGTGTGTGTGTGTACTGTGTATGTGTACTGTGTATGTGTACTGTGTATGTGTACTGTGTATGTGTACTGTGTGTGTACTGTGTATGTGTACTGTGTGTGTACTGTATGTGTACTGCTCCATCTCTCTCCTCCTTAATTATAATAACTTCATATTTTAGTTTTAATTACCAATAATATACAAATAATTGACCTTTAATAGACTCTCTCTCTCTCTCTCTCTCTCTTTCTCTTCTCTCTCTCTCTCTCTCTCTCTCTCTCCTGTCAGCCGTGCGTCAGCCAGCGTTAAGCATCAACCTGACACCTCTCATCCTCTCTGTCAGCCACTGTCAGCGTTCTTATTTGTCTCCTTGACGGGCCAATAACCCGTCTTATTGGATCTGTCTCTCTCTGTCTCTTCTTTCTGTCTCTCTCTGTCTGTCTACGTATGGAGAGAGAGAGAGAATTAAAGCCAGTGAAATTTCTCTCCAAGTGAAAGTTGAAGGTCAACCTAACAACATCAGGGGTGAGGGAGAGTGAGGGAGGGGTGAGGGAGAGGGAGGTGAGGGGAGGGGTGAGGGGAGAGTGAGGGGAGGGGTGAGGGAGGGTGGAGGGGAGGAGTGAGGGGAGGGTGAGGGGAGGGGAGGGAGGAGGGAGAGGGAGGGAGGGGTGAGGGAGGGTGAGGGAGAGTGAGGGAGGGGTGAGGAGGGTGAGGGGAGGTAGGGAGAGGAGGGAGGGGTGAGGGAGGTGAGGGGAGGGGTGGAGGAGGGTGGGAGGGGAGAGGGAGGGGAGAGGAGGGAGGGGTGAGGGAGGGGTGAGGGGAGGGTGAGGGAGAGTGAGGGGAGAGGAGGAGGGGAGGGAGAGGAGGGAGAGGAGGGAGGGGTGAGGGAGGGTGAGGGAGGGTGAGGGAGGGTGAGGAGGGTGAGGGAGAGTGGTGAGGGTAGAGAGACACGACCTAAATCTCCCCACTTCCTCTACCTTCCCTCCTTCCCCTCCTCCCCTCCCCTCCCTCAACAGGCATAAGGGAGGGTACAGACAGACAGACACAGTACAGCAGACAGGCAGACAGACAGCAGACCTCTGGCTCAGTGTCTGTTAATGGCCTTACTGCTGTAGAGAGAGAGAGAGAGAGAGAGAGAGACTGAATTTTTCTCTCTCTCTCTCTCCTAAGCTGAGATAAGAGAAAGCTCTCCTACGTCAAGCTTTGTAGTAGAGAAATCCTGTCCCACTGATATGGTGTATTGAGGGAAGCTTAGTGGGAGGAGGGAGGAGGAGGAGGAAGAGGAAGAAGGAAGAGGAAGAGGAAGAGGAAGAAGAGAGAGAGAGAGAGAGAGAGAGTATCTGAGAATTCACATCTCAGTAAACTGTAAACAACATACCAGCCAATGAAAAAACAGCACAGCAACCACCTAACCAATGAGAAACAAGATCCATATACCTAGTCTCACCTTCCGGATAGACCTGATCTCCTATTGGCTATAGAAACCCCATATTCTCTCATGTGATTGGTTGATCTGTGACGTAGTTCAATTTTTCGTCATAGATGGCGTTACTTGACGCTGTACAACAACCACCACCACCACCACAACAACAACAACAGGTGGATGGAATATTGGTAATATGTTTAATTAGCACCAATTACCTCACTAATTATTATCATGCCTTAATTACCCTCGTTAAGGAAGAGCTTAGAGGCGTGATAACAGGAGAGAGAGAGAGAGAGAGAGAGAGAGAGAGAGAGAGAGAGAGAGAGACATTACGAGAAGCTACAATTTGTGCAGTGTGTGTGTGTGTGTGTGTGTGTGTGTGTCTCAATTATTCCGTGTGTGTCTAGCCTCTCTCTCTCAGTGGGGTCAACATTTCCATTTTCTCAATTGTTGTTGTTGTTCAAGATGTGACGTCAGAGAAGCAGGTGTACATGATAATGAATTCAAGAGTTCCAGGTGAATAACTGATAAGGTAGTGAAGTAACCCTGGGTACACATACATACATACATACATACAATACATACATACATACAATACATACAATACATACATACATACACACACAACTTAATCTAAAAACAAGGTCCATTTTAACCCCACCTGACCCTTTGATAATGTTAATTTATGTGGAATAATGGAGAGAGGGGGGGGAAGGAGGAGGAGGGGAGGGGAGAGGGGGGACACACACACACAGCCACGCCCCCACGCCTCAGCCACGCCCACGCCATTAAACACTATGTGTAGGTTAGGTTCAGTACACGATAAACTCTGCTCATGAGGCCTAGTAACGAGCCCCCCAGTCTGGATAGCCTATTACTACTGCTAGGAGGAAGAGGAGAGGAAGAGGAAGAGGAGAGGAAGGAGGAAGAGGGGAAGAGAGGAAGGAAGAGGAAGAGAGAGGAGGAGGAAGAGGAGGAAGAGGAGGAAGAAAACATCCATCTGACCGAATTTTCCTCCCTTTCTCTCTCCTTCCTTCTCTCCTTCCTTCCTCCCTCCTCTCCCTTCCTCCCTTCTCTCTCTCTATCTCTCTCCCTGGCGCGATAGTTGAGGGTCTTTGAAGTTAGCTCACACACACACACACACACACACATGTACACACACCCTGTTGTTCCTTACAGGTGTGTAGTGTATATTAAGTCCAGGTATCTCTCTCTCTCTCTTACGTGTCTGTTTTTTGCATGTTGAAAGAAAGAAAGAGAGAGAAAGAAGAGAGAAAAAGGATGACCCTTTATTTTATCTTTTAAGAGATACTTTGTGTAAACCGGATCTATGGCACTTCAACACACACACACACACACACACACACACACACACACACACACACACACCCACACACACACACACACCCACACACACACACACCACACCTAATGTGTTGTGGAAGATCTGATGAGAAAGTTTGTTGGATTAGCAGCCTGTCCCCAGCCGTCAGGGGAGAGAGAGTATAGGTATGGAAGGTGTGGAGTAATCTGGAAGGGGTCTGGAAGGTGGGAGTAATCTGGAAGGGGTGTGGGAAGGTGTGGAGTAATCTGGAAGTGTGGAAGGTGTGAAGTAATCTGAAGGGGTGTGGAAAGTGTGAAGTAATCTGGAAGGTGGAAGGTGTGGAGTAATCTGAAGGGTGAAGTGATCTGGAATGGTCTGAGAGGGTATGGATGGATCTAAAATGATCTGGAAGGTCTGGAAATGATCTGGATGGGGTCTGGAAGGGTCTGGAAGGGGTTATTATTTGGTTATCGATGGGAGGGAGGGACAGATGGGAAGGGGAGACGACCCGCAGCCTCATCATGGAACAGATTGACTGAACGCGACAAACAATTATGTGTGTGTGTGTGTGTGTGTGTGGAAGAGGTGGGAGAGAGACGGTCATATGTATGTATGTATGTTCAATTATCTTTTGTTTTTTCTGTATATATATATTGATACAAACTTTAGTTCTTGTTTTATTTAGGTGTTTGTTTGTCCGTCTGTTTGCTTGTGTCTCTGTGTTTGTTTGCCTGTGTTTGTGTGTTTGGTTAGAGGGACATGTACCTAACCTAGATGATATTGTTAGTCAATTCTAACTCTCTCTCAGGTACAGGTATATCAACAACCACTACTACCACCACCACCACTACCACAATCCAATCGAGAAATATTAATTACTTTACACAGAACTAGAACCCAAGATGTCGACCCTTAATTAACTCCTAAATCCCTTTGAAGGATTTAGGGAATGATTTTAGGGTATTTTAAGGTATTTTAGGGAATTTTAAGGTATTTTAGGGTATTTTAGGAAATTTTTAGGGTATTTTAAGGTATTTTAGGGAATTTTAAAGGGTGAGAGAGAGATCGACTCATCAAGGTAAGTAATTAATGGTCTTATCAGGGAGTGCCACCTGTCCAGTCTGGCGGATTGGTTCCTTCTGTTGATTACGTGTAGCTGAGGTCCTGGGTTCGAGGTGGTGGTGGTGGTGGTGGTT